ATCCTGCAAAGCTTTTGTCTTAAGTTAGATTGCTGGGACACAGGATAGAAGGAGAGAACCAACTCTAAAAGTTGTTCTCTGATCGCCACACACAAGCATACCACACACACACACTACTCCACTACAGGTGAGTACACGCGCACACACGCACACGCGCGCGCGCGCACACACACACACACACACACACACACACACATGCGCGCACACGCAGGCGCACGCGCACGCGCACGCGCATGTTGCACGTGCATGCGCACACACACAAAGGTAGCATGCACATTCACCTACACAATAATAAAATAATGTCTGAGGAACTAACTGGAAAGGAGCCTTGACAATCAGTGACCTTGCTCAGCTCTCATAGGAGAACACTGCCACACTGGCAAATATCTCCACTGCAAAAAGCATTAGGAGCTGTCCATCCACTCATTGAGCCTCCTGACCACGATGGTGCAGATTTACAGAAGCAGGAAGGCTGGTTCCTGCAACCCAGTACTACAGGGATAAGCAGCAGCAGTTTGGGTTCAACACGTCATTTCTTCAGGAGACTGACATGCCTCAGAGGAACTATGTCAGCATCCAAAGCCAGTACTCATGAGATGACAGTGTCTAGGAGACACAGAAAATGTCAGACATTGCGGCATGTGCCCTGGGTGATCCCAATTGCCTACGGGGGAGAATACTGCACTAAGAAGACACTCACATCTCTAAACTCGAATCACAGAGGGAAATCTGGAGAAGGCTTCTGGAAATAGTTTGAAAGTTAGATAACATCTGTCAAAGGCCAGTGAACAGTCATCAAGTGTCGTGATGCAGAGAGCACGGCTCACACAATGGGGGCTCTGAATGACAGCATAATTCTCAACACAGCTCCATCTTTGCCCTGCCAAGTGTGACTAAAACACTTCCTCAGAGTTAAAGCCATGTTCCAGCACCATGGACCACAGACAGCATAACTAGATCCACTTAGACCCTTGGTAATAATTTCAGCACCTAGGAAATCCATACCCATTCTTGGGGAACAAATCCATTTCTCTCTTAGTTAGCTCAAAACCAAAGTTTATCAAGACCCCATTTTCCACACGTGGAAGACACTGTTGTGTGGGTTACTGGGCTCCTTTGTTCTCTGCCAATCATGAAAACTTTAGTTTTCCTGTGTGCAAAACAATAGTCAAACTTTAGTTGAGGGCTTTTCTTGCTATACTTTCAAAGTTTTGGTTTTATTTTTGTTAGGTTGGTTTCCCAAGACAGAGTTTCACTGTCTTGGCTGTCCTGGAACTCACTCTGTAGACCAGGCTGGCCTCGAACTCACAGAAATCCACCTGCCTCTGCCTCCTGAGTGCTGGGATTAAAGATCTATGCCACCACCACCACCCACCCAGTAAGGTTTTTTGTTTTTGTTTTTTTTAACTTATCTCACTTTGTGGTTCTTAAAAACTCTTCAGACACATGGCAAATCACAGTCCCTTTGAAAATGTCCCTTTTCTTTATCAGTAACAAGTCACAAATTTTCGATTTAAAGTTATTTTACATTTACTCACTGTAGTTACTTTCTACTGATCTAAACTCCCTTCTGCTTTCTTTTGGAGGCCAGGTGTCATGTGCCACAGGCTAACCTTGAGCTCACTATGGAGCCGAGATGACCTCAAACTCC